TTTGCCCTCACGTTTCTTTTTTTCTCCATCAGTGCCTGCAAGCCCTGGATTTCCTTCATTCCAACCAAGTGATTCACAGAGACATCAAAAGTGACAATATTCTTCTTGGGATGGATGGATCTGTCAAATTGAGTAGGTGTTCTTGGTCAAGTGCAGTGTTCCTGGGATGTGGTGTGGGGCTGCTTTTGAGTGACTGGCAATACCCCAAAAGTGGTGTTTGTGGGCGTGCACGGAGCCCTGCTGCAAGCTAAGGGCACAGCTGCAATGTGCAGAGAGGTCTAGAGAGGAACAAGGTGTCAGGAGTGGCTTTGGTTTGTGTGTGTCCCTTCCAGAGGGGAGGGAGTTACAATCTAAAGCTTCAAGTGAATGAATAAAAGCCACTGTATGAAACTTGAGAGTTTCTTTAAGTGGCCAATTCTGTATTTCCCTGGCTACAGCCCTGAGGAAACGCCGCTTTTCCAGCTTGATTCAGCACTGCATTCTCAGACTTAAAATGGGGAATTCTTTTGCTTGCTTTCATGATTCAAACTGGCTTCAACAGTATTTGTTTTTCTCCTCAGCTGATTTTGGCTTCTGTGCTCAGATCACCCCAGAGCAGAGTAAACGGAGCACAATGGTGGGAACTCCTTACTGGATGGCACCAGAAGTTGTAACAAGAAAAGCATACGGCCCCAAGGTGGACATCTGGTCACTTGGGATCATGGCAATAGAAATGGTGGAAGGAGAACCTCCCTACCTTAATGAAAATCCTCTCAGGGTAAGGTGAAATACTATCAGATACCACTGTCTTTCTAATCTCTGTCATATTTTGTCTTCCATGAAGTAAAATCCCATTCACATCATCTTGAACTAGTTCTGTGAAGGCCTGCTTCTAAAAATGTTCCTGGAGCACATCAGCATCTGCTGCAGCTTTGATTGCACCACTGGGAGAACCTTAGAAGAGAAGTGACATGTGCCAGTGCAGAAACTTGCCATTTTGGCCTTCAGCAGTGCTTGAAACTTGTCATGCACTTTTTGAGCTTTCTTTGAGCTGTATCTCTAAATGACAAGAATTTTTCAGTGGCAAGTTTCTCCAATTGAAGAACTGTTATGAAAAGCGTTGCAGCTGTACCTGCAGGCACGGAACTCTTTGGAGGCAATCTCAGCTGCCTCCAAACAGGAGAGCTTGTAAGCAAGACTGGATTTTACAGCAAAGATTTTTAGCTGATGGCACACAGTAGTTGTTGGATTTCTTGAAATACGTAATGAGCATATTTCTTTCATAGCTCAACCATTTTCTCCATGTCATCAAGCCTGAGCTTTCAATAATCCAACTACCCAAAGCCCTTGTTTCTTGCCTGGCAGTTTCTGAGATGGGAACATCATTAATGCATTTACTTGAGTATCAGAATTAGCAGAGGGTTACCATAGGGATGGAATTACTCCTTTTTCTGATGAGACCATTAAAAAGTTTTTTTTCTACCACATAAGTGGAGCTGATCTGAAATGTAGAGAGTGCTGAAAAACATAGTTGCAGGTGGCTCCTGTCTACCCAATTATGCCTTTTCATCATAATATATTTGTGCATGCAACTTAATGTTTCTGTGTTGAACGTGAGGCTCCAAATGTTTCTGCTTCTTTATCCAACAGTAAGATGATGGATTTGGTTTTTTTTTCATCTGGTAACCATTTTTAATCAAGAACAGAGCAAAAAACTTGATTACTTTTGTTTTATGGAAGCTGTACTTTGGGGACCAGTGAGCACTGCAGAGGTGCATTTTATGTAATAATCTTTTGAAATAATATGTTTAGACCACACTGACTCTTTTAAAACAGTTGGTAAAGCTGGTGTCAATACTTGGAGAAGCAAAATGTGCGTTTGCTGATGTAGTTCCTACTAACTAGGTCAGCCAATGATATCAGCTGTCAAGGCAAGATCATTTTGGTGTTGGAATAGCTGTGACTGCATCAGGGTTTTTCTTTTCGTTGGTATAGAAAAATCATCTCCAGCCCTCTGCCAGGGAAGAAACTGCCACTGGAGACTGGAGCTTAAAAATTTGTGTCTTTGTGAGCAGTTCTGGGTATGAATGAAACAGTGTCCTGTTTTTATTCCAGGCGCTGTATCTGATAGCCACAAACGGGACACCGGAGCTGCAGAACCCTGAGCGACTCTCTGCTGTGTTTCGAGACTTTCTCAACTGCTGCCTGGAGATGGATGTGGACAGGCGAGGGTCTGCCAAGGAGCTTCTGCAGGTAAGATGGGAAGTGACTGCAGGTGAAACAGCTGCCTGAGATATCGATTTTCTCGTTAGATAAACTCAAAGGCATCGGGTGCCCCCAGTGGCTAGAAAGGTTTGGGTTGGAAGGGACCTTTAAAGGTCGTCTAGTCTGACGCCCCTCAGTCCTATTTCTGTGCATTTCTGGTAACCAGAGGAACCCTGCTTGATCCTGTGAGGAACTGAGTTTGGAAACTAATGGTTCTTTCTCTTTTTTTTTTTTCCTTTGGGCAGCATCCATTTTTAAAATTAGCCAAGCCCCTCTCCAGCCTCACTCCTCTGATCATTGCAGCGAAGGAAGCGATTAAGAACAGCAGCCGCTAGCACTTCAGGTCGGCTTTCTGCCCTGCCAGCTCAGAGCAGGACTGAGAACACAGACTCTATAAAACCTCAACTCTCGTGCTGCGGGACAGATGGATGGATGAACAAACCAACGGTCACAGTCATGGTGGTAGGACCACCCCAGTTCCTCAAGGAGTAAAAAATTATCATTTGTCTTCTTCCTGCTTTCTGGCTCCTTAATTTATTTTTAAGATGAAATGGGGCTAAGGACAGAGAGGTAATGACAGAAAATGCTTTGCTGCCTCAATCATTTCCAAGGTAAAGCAAATTCAGTTGGAAGATTCCCTTCCTTCTCACCCTGTGAATAAGCTGTACATTCACTTTTAAATTGTCAGTTCTTTCTTAACGATGTAAAGTCCTGTTTATGGGGTTTTTGGTATGGTTTGGAATTGAGAAGGGCAATTCTTCATTCATCAACTCCAGACTGCACTGCCTTTTGAATATGGCCCGCTCACCAGTTTTTGCCCAGTCGTGATACTTCTAGATGAGAAAGAAAGTGCAATTGCATTTCCAACCAAAAAGGAATGAAGAGTGGGGCAGACAAAACATCCTGTGGAGATACAGGCGTTCAGCTGGGACTGTGTAGTGTTTTGGTTCTTGCCAGTTGGATTTGTATCACTAACTGCAATCTCTTTGCCTGGATGAGAGTCTTACTCAACTGAAAAAGCCGAAAGATCAGTTGGTTGCTCAGAAAGGGCTCGTCTGATGCAAAGCTGCCACAGCAGCTACCACAGAGCAGGTCCAGCCTTGCCCAGTGCTGAGCTCCAGCAGAGCCCTGGCAGAGCACAGGGCAGCCTCAGCATCCACAGAGCCAGGCTGGAAGAAGGCATTGTAGCGGCAAGTGGCAGCAGCCCAGCCCTGGGTGCTTGCCTCTTCCTGGGACTGGACTAATCACCCTGTCTCAGAGCCAAACTGGGTATGGGCTGCTCCCGAGGTGAATCGTGTCCATGCTGTGAAATGTGCAGCCTGGTGGGATTTGCCATCTTGAGTCTCTGCAGGAGTAGAGAAGGGCAAAACAGAGCAGAGCGGTCTCTTCTGAGGATGCCTGCTCTTCTCCTGGTTGTCTTGTAGCTCCTGGGAAAGGTTGGGAGTGTCTGCAGCAGAGGGGGAGGGAGCCAGGCTGCTCTGCAGGCTCCCACACAGGTGAGCATCCTTTAGGCACAGGAATTCTGCTGCGGGAACCAAGACTGCCCTGAGGAACAACCTGCGCAGTTCAGATCTGCAGGAGCCAGTGCAGCTGCCAGCTCCGGAAGAAGGCGCCTTAGAACCTGGAGTTGTGCACTGAGCCAGAGCAAACGTGTGAAGTGCAGAGTGGATTGCAGAAATATCCAGAGGCACCAAGCCAGTCCGCTCTCTGCTGTCCGGCGTGCAGCAGGCACTGCGCAGTGCAGCTCTGAGTTGCCGGGAGGAGGGAGCTGGGGATGTGCCTGAGGATTGTGCTTGACTAGTCAGCGGATTTGGAAGGGAGCAGTTTCAGTATGCAGTTTGTGTTTTATTTATTCATTTCTGAAAGAAAGACGCAATGTGGCTTCACTCAGCAAAAGCATTTGCACGGCGTACTTGTTGCTGTATTTTAGGAGTACAACTCATGCAAGACCTTTAAAACAGCAACTGAAGCAACACGCACCCAGTGAGCAAAAAAAACCCCACAGTAACACAGCTTTCTGCTATAGATCTGCGTGTTCCAGCCTGGTCCTGCAAAGGGCTCAGTAGCCTTTAAGGTACTCACTGCCTTCACGTCTGGCCAGCAGGAACGAAGGGTGCTTGGGCTGGTCTTGAATCAGGCCATGAGCTTGTTTGACTTTGGCTTCCTGTTTCGTTGCAGCCTTTGTGTGGCAAGTGTCCTTACTGCTGCAGACTGACCCATCCTCACTCACACTGTCCGTCCCGATGTCTTTGGCTGAGGCAGCAGACAGAGACAATGCTCCCCGAGTTACCGCTGCTAAGTAGGAATTAACTTTTCCTGATTTCCTGGGGAGCACAATTTTTCAGGTGGCCAGATAGCATGCCCAGGTGAGCAGCTCCAGTTTCCTGAACCGGAGGAACCTCAGGGGAAGCCAAGGGAGCCTCCAGGAGCCCACAGCTGGTGCAACAGTGGCTGACAGGACCTGGGTGGGCCAAAAGCAACCAAGCTTTGCTCCCATAAAGAAAGCCCTGGGGAGCGGGAGCAGCCAGGGCAGGCAAACAGGCCATGGCACAGCAGATGGTGAGCACAGCTGTGGAAGAGGAACTCCTCCTCTTAGGGTCACAGCTGCCAGAGGGGGTGAATAGGGGGAGGAGTGTCTGTGAGCCTTCTTTGCTTCAGTCTTTAATAGTAGGACCAGTTGCTCCCCAGGCACCCAGCCCTCTGAGCTGGAAGACAGAAGTGGCGAGCAGAATGCAGCCCCTATAATCCAAAGGGAAATGGTCAGCGACCTGCTACACCACTTCAACACTCACAAGGCTCTGGGGCCAGATGGGATCCACCCAAGGGTACCAAGGACCTGGTGGAAAAGCTCACCAAGACATTTTCCATTATTTACCAGCAGTCCTGGCTAAGGGGAAGGTGCCAAGTGACTGGAGATCAGCAAATGTGACACCGATCTACAAGAAAGGCCAGAAGGAGGATCCAGGGAACTACAGGTGTGTCAGCCTGACCTTGGTGCCAGGGAAGGTCATGGAGCAGATCATCTTGAGTGCCATCACACAGCACATACAGGACAGCCAGGGGATCAGGCCCAGCCAACGTGGGTTTGTGAAAGGTGGGTCCTGCCTGACCAGCCTGATCTCTTATGACAGCGTGACCCGCCTGGTGGATGAGGAGAAGGCTGTGCATGTGTCTGCCTGGACCTTAGTAAAGCCTTTGACACCGTTTCCCACAGCATTCTCCTGGAGAAACTGGCTGCTCATGGCTTGTATGGGTGCACTGTTCCCTGGGTAAAAAACTGACTGGATGGCTGGGCCCAGAGAGTGTTGGGGAATGGAGTTACATCCAGCTGGGGCTGGTCACCAGTGCTGTTCCCCAGGGCTCAGTACTGGGGCCAGTCCTGTTTAATATCTTTATTGATCATCTGGACGAGGGGATCGAGGGATCAAGGGCACCCTCAGTCATTTTACAGACGACACCATGTTGTGTGGGAGTGTTGATCTGCTGGAGGGTAGGAGGGCTCTGCAGAGGGATCTGCACAGGCTGGATCCATGGGCTGAGGCCAATTGGACAAGGTGCAGCAAGGCTAAGTGCCAGGTCCTGCCCTTGGGTCACAACAACCCCCTGCAGCTCCAGGCTGGGGCAGAGTGGCTGGAGAGCTGCCCAGTGGAAAAGGACCTGGGTGTTGGTCACTAGTGGATGAACATGAGCCAGCAATGTACAACTACCTGAAAGAAGATTGGAGCCATGGGGGAATCGGTCTCTTCTCCCAAATAACAAGTGGTGGGACGAGAGGAAATGGCCACAAGTTGCAACAGGGCAGGTTTAGATTGGATATAGGAAAAAATTCTTCACTGAAAGGGTGGTCAAGCCTAGGAACAGGCTGTGCAGGGCAGTAGTTGAGTCACCATCCCTATAGGTATTTTTAAAAGATGTGTAGATGTGGCACTTGGGAACATGGTTTAGTGGGGGCATGGCAGTGCTGGGTTAACAGTTGGACTCGATGAGCTCAGTGGTCTTTTCCAACCTGAATGATTCTATTCTATTCAAAAGACTTTGTTTCCTTCTTGTGAGGTCCCATTTTTCTCTGTCAGCTCAAGTTCTGTGTCTGTGGGAGAGACTTCCTTGTGAAAGAGTAATTCAGGCTGGAGATGGGCTGCCCTCAACGTGTAAAGCATTCATCAGAATGGAACGTGTGTATTCCTGTAAGAAGTGAAGAAATGAGTGACTGTTTCTGTTTCCAGTATTGCTTTTATTTTTTCCTACCCACAAAGGAACAGACAGCCGTCCTTTAAAAGGAAAGCACTTCGTAATGGCACATGTTTGCTGGACATACAGTCTAAATACTTCTGTTGACAAACTACACTATTTGATTGGAGGGGGAATTTCCTATTTATTTTCTTTACCTGTAAGTATTTCAGCATCTCTGCTTCAAAAAGACCCCACCACCATAACTTCCCAGAAGATAACAGATTTTAAAAACAGGAAAATCAAATGGTAGGGTTTTTTTTCTGATCAGTGTATGCCCCAGCATACAGAATATTGTTGGCACTGACTTTTTAAAGACAACCGCTGTCCTAGGAGGCCTTAACTTTTTATTTTAATAAATACTATATTTATTTTTCTTTGCATCAGCAAAGCTAGAGATTCTTCTTCTAAAACCAATTCCTGGGAGGCAGACAAGATTCAGCAGAAATGATCTCTGCCAGTGGCTTTTTTCAGCATGGACTGTACTCGCCCAGCTGAGGCTGTGTGACGTGCAGGGAAACGCACCTCCAGTATCCCTGTGGCTCCGTGCTTGAGACAGTCTCTGGCATTAAATTTTCACTCACCAGGTACTGAAAGATTGCAGCTGTGTTTATATTCCTCCTAGCTTGGATAGGAAATGTAGAAGAGACGTAGATATATTAAAAAAAACCAACAACACAAAACCATAAAAATCCAATCCTGAAGTGATCAAGTATTGTACATGATTTACAGGCTCACAGAGTATATTAGGATTGACAATAGCATGACCTTGCAGAAAGGAAAGAGACAAATATCTTACATCTCTGGAACTGTCTTAGGGTTTCTGACTGCTATCCTCAGATTAAGCAATCAGTTATATATATTTTTCTGAAGTATTAGAAATAGGCTGTTTCTGTTGCAAAATGAAAACTAAAAAGTTTCAGACACTTCCATTCCACGGTTTTAAAGGATTGGTTAATTGTCTTCATTTTTAAATTAAACAGTAAAATACCCTATCCAAGAGCTTGATTATGATTCCCATCCCTGCAGTGAAGATGTGTGAAAATGAGCCGATAGTGCACTGTTGTTTTAATGTGTTTTGGGACAGAAGCATGATAGCAGTAAAGTCAGGGAAGTTTGAGAAGCACAGAAAAGTTTATTTATTTAAGAAAAAGAGGAAAAAAAAGATAACCATACCTATGTAAAATTCCATACAGCTCCTGCATGCACTCCTGGGAACCTGCACGGGGGTGGATCTTACAGTGCTCTCAGGGTTGGATCCCAAACTTGGGCTGGGGTTGCATTCTCACTTCTTGTGTCCAGTGCTTTTGTAAATATGTGTGTGTTTGTTCTTCATCTTTGGCTACTGGTTGGCCATTCCACTACACACAAATGAACTCAAGGGTTTGTGCTGAGTTTCTTTGAGGCCAGTGGCTGCACTTGGGCAGGTCTTTCGGTCAGTGTTTCCTCATGTCCTGCCACCAAAAATGAAGCACATTCCAGTCACCACGAGAAGGGAGTAAGTACCTGTCTCCTGTCCTCTAGTTGTAGGAAATGTCACCGTACTCTATTGTCCCTATGGTGGTTATTTCCAATATATAGTCCTTGGTGTGGCTACTGAATATTCCTCACACTGAGCATGTAAATACTTAGTAGTCCTTAGTCCAGTCCTGAGCAAATCCAGTGAGCGAAGGGCCAGAGAGAGCCCTGTAACATCTACCATTAAAGGCAGGAGCCAGTGTTTCTTTGCTTGACATCCAGGGCATGCACACTAGTGCCACCTTTGCCTTGCTACACATTATCAAGGCAGTGGAGTACACATCTTCGTGGTGTACACACCTTCCTGGTGGACTGTTCACTCATGCCCAGATGTGCAGCAACTTTAATGATGGGTGATGGGGCAAGCTGATGAAGACCTATAAATATGTGTTCATCTTTTTTTTTTCCCCTCTCCTCTCCCCTGATCAGGTAAATATCTTTAATTTTATCTCCAGTTTTCAGGAAGCAGGCAAAGGACATCCCTTGTCTTTCAGCAGAAACCATCCGAGGTTTCTTTAAGTGTGATTTACAATTCAGGGATCTTTAAAACTTCTCTTTGCTTGTGTCTGTCCTTGAGCCTACAGGGTAATGTTATTTTTCTGGTTGAAGCTTGCAGAATGTTGCTTATCTATCTCTCTTTGGGTGCAGTTTAGAGCCAGTTGCCATAATCCTAGGCGTGCATTGTGCCTACAAACCATCACTGGCCTGAGCCTAGCAGTGGTTGCATGTACCTTTGGTGACAAGAGCCATCTCAAAAGAAAAAAGGTCTTATAGGAAAGAGAAGAAGGGATGGATGCCCACTTGCTTTTCATGGGTGCCCTTTGGACTGCCCCACGTACAGACCTGCAAACTTTGTTCTTGCTGCTTAGCAATTCCCCCGGCAAGCGCTTGGGTTCTGCTGGAATCTGACCCTG